CCCTCCCAAAATCATAGCACCTAAAACTATTCTGCCATCCCAAACTACCATATCCTTGACTTATACCTTACAATTACTTTTGTGTATATACATCCATACTCCTCTCCAATATGTACTATCTCTCCTTGTTTACATTGTTTTCTCAGTGGAGAGAGATGTGTCTAAAAAAGCAGTTTCAGCCTCCTGTCTTTCATGCTCATCTCTTCATTTAACAAGTGAAATCAGAATGTAGATGGGTGAATATTCACAGCTGTTTCGGTAAACTTTATGTAAACATAGGAATAAGTTTCTTTCATCATAGGACAGGGCTGATTTACAGCCAGTACTATGTGGAAACAGGTTCAGGAAATAAATATTCCAACATGCTTTAAGGAATTCTGTCAAAATTAGGCACTCACTAAATCTGTCTAAATTTTAATATTTTTCCCATTAAGTGGAGCCTCTAATCCTTGCTTATGTTAGTGGTGCTGCTGCTTTAAACACAGAATTGGGTCAAAGTGTTTACTCATTCACACTTAATCCTGAATTCTGTTTTCAGCCCAAACTCCCTACCAGTCATCAACTGCAAATTAATGTAAGGAAATATGTAAAAAGTATTCATTTAACATATAGAAGTATCTTCTCAGGTAGTTTTTTTTATACATTTTCCTTAGAATATACCCAATTTGTGAGATTCTGCACCATTTTCTTAATAAAGTCTGAAACATAAGATACAACCACAGCATATATGGGAGCTAATCTTATCCTTCAGCAGGCTTCTGCATGCTTTCTGTTTTAGACAGTCATCACCATTTCATCCTACAAGAGACATTATTATTACTCTTACATGATTTATGGCTCAAAGTGCAAGAGATGGTGCAAAGATCCTGTGCCAAATTCCCAGATGGCATATAACATGAGCCAAACTGCAAAAGACTTGTAAGTATGGGTATATCAGTTTCATCAAAAGGGGAGAAGAAAGGGGGAGTATTTAAAAAATGTAAAGGAAAAAAAAGGAAAAAGCAAAGAGTTTCAAATACTGGGCACAAAACCAGACAGGTAATTTTTTTTTTTTTCTTTCTTTCTTCTTTACAGTCTTGTAATTCAGTCATAGATATAGCCTTGCCATTACAAATGTAACCCCAGTTAAAAATAATGACAGGCATTATAGAAATTAGGCCAAGCAGATTTGAGCTTAAATCAAAAGAAGCGGAGCATCACTTCCTGAGCCTATTTTTCAGGTAAAATTTTTTCTGATGTTGCTTTAGTGTGTGAACACTACCCAGTGCAAATCTGGTATAGTTATAAAGCACCTGCTGCAGTGTCCAACAATGACTGCAACAGGACTACACTTATTTTTTTCAAATATGGTATTTAAAAATAATAAGAAACAAAAAATGTGAAGACATTTTGGATCAGTTAAATTTTTAACTGATTAAAAAAGAAAAAAAACCCACTCAAGAAAAAACAGAAATTGGGGATTTATTTGATGCTTTTAACCAAGCAACTGTGATTTTCTTCTGCTTATTTAACTTTTTTTTTTTTTTAACTAGAATTGCTTTAGTATTTTGAGATTTTGGTTATAACAAAGAGCACTGAAAAAATACATTCTCCAATACTTTAATCCCATGTTTATAAGCATGCCAGAGCTTAATGATGAACCACTTAAAAGAAAAAAAATCTGCAAATCTGAGGCTGGCAGACCTGTAAACAACAACAGCAGAGTGCTTTACCTTCTTGTGATTCTTGTAAACATTTCTGTGGGCAAATCCCTTTCCACAAAGCTTGCATTTATAAGGTTTATCTTCACTGTGTATTATTTTGTGTGCAGTCACTTGATCAAGTCGTTTGAAGGACTTATTGCAAACCTCGCAGGTGTAGGGGCGTTTTTCTGCAGAAAATGAGTGGGGGGACATTTAATCTCCTGTTTATACAGGGGGAGAAGATGAAAGGCAGACACAGTCATCTCCTCAGAGAGATTTTTGCAATTAAGTCAACCCAATTAAGATTAAACCAATTAGAAAGACATCTAATGCCCTTTATGTTAGACAGTTAAGTCACTTCACAAAAGATGAGCCATGGTATATCTCAAGAAATTGGCACATTCTTTGCAATAATCATTGCTAAAACTAAATTCTGATTAATTAGCTTAAATCAAAAGAGAATGACTTCAAAGAGGAAAACCCTGTTTCCAGATTACAAATGTGAAAGAGGGCATGACAGTTTAAATGTTTTAAAACTTAATTAACAATATACATATTAGCTTCCAAAATCAAAATTTCCTATGCAAAAAGCCTTTATGCTTCAACTGGTGACTGCAACTTAACTACATTAATGCTCATCCAAAAGTGTCAAAAGAAAACTAGGAGCCTCTGAGATACAGATTGTGTCATAAGAAATAAGCTTTTGGTGTGGACTGATACTGAGAAAATAGTTCAATTATAAGCCTGTGCCACTGTAAAAACCTGCATTTTTTACATGCTAATGTATTTGACAGAGCAATGTTTGTGTTTCCATTGTGTTGGCTGGTGTTTCTAATCACTGGTGAAAGATGCAGAAACACTAGATCACAGTGATCAGAAATCCTGGCAGAGCCAATCTGTGTCATCATGCCAAAATTACGGACAGGCCACTACCCACTCACAGTGACCTGTTCTGGCAGAGGACAGGCACAATGAAACATTTGTGTGTGGTCTATGAAATGGTGCGGAGGATGAGTTGCTTTCCTCTAACTGGAAACTATGTACACATGAGTCCACTTAAATAAATAAACAAATAAATAAATAAATATATATTTTTATTTTTTTATATATATATATGAGAATAAATGTTTCCCCTTTGATCACAGATCTCTAGCTGAGAGCACACCCCAGCTCCCATCCTCTTCTCTTCAACATGAAACCTCACCCACTGGTTCTTCACCTCCTCAATAAGCCAAGTAGCGATCTTTTTCCCCATTCCAGCTACCTGACATCACCTACCACAGCTAGCATGAAAAAACAGCTTGACAAAGGAGCAACAGGAAGAAGACTATAGCATTACACTTGGATTTTTGAAAGGCTTAGCAAGGATAGCTTAAATGGTTTCATTGGAACCCGAGATTTGCTTGAACAGCTCAGGGCAACACAGAATTTATCAAGCCTTCTATAGGAAACTAATTCAGGTAAAATTCAATATACATTAAATACATATACACAATATAGATAGGTTTGTGTTATTTTTGTACGTTACCTGAGTGAGTTATCATATGGCGTTTTAGCTGGTTAGCTGAAATAAACTTCTTGTCACATTCCTGACACTCAAAGATCTCATGGACCTGCAAAACGAGTGTTTAATGATAATTAAATACATGTCTTAAACAAGATCACACATCATATATACAGAAATTCTCTAATAGACTGTTTCGTAGTCAGTAGCTCTACTAATATTCATAAATATTCTGTGCCTTCCCTCTTTTGCTAGTCCCTTGGTGTACAACAGTATCTCTCAAAAATAAATATTCATCATTGCTAACAAAAATTTATCACTAAAACTATATTTAGAAACACAGGTTATGCAAATTTGCAATATCAGATCCATTTAAAATATCAGTATTATGAAAGCATTAAAATACCAGATGCAGAATATTCAGAACATTTTCTTTTAGCCAATATGACATAAGTAAAAATAACACAGTAACTACCTTCATAACTACTGTAAGAATTTTAAAAAAACAAGTACTATCAAACTCTTTCAGGATTGTTTCTCTTAAATGCTTTTAGAGGCAAGACACTGGAGGGGCAGAAGTGTCTTTTAAACTGTAAATGCAGTAAGCATTAGCACCATTTTCAACATCGCAGTACATAACGTCATCAAGGACTAAACGCTGAAAGCTGCAACTGCTGATATTCAAATTAAAAAAACAAAACAAAAAAATCCTGTGTTATTTATTGTTCCCCAAAAATCACAACACATATATAGTTCTTTACCTATCATGATTACTATTCACCTTCTGCTCTGTATTACGTTTGCAATCAGCAGCCCCTCCTCAACCTAGTCACAGTGCAACCGAACATACATTTCGGCTTTTTGGAACTGCAACCTTAGACAGTAAAACTTCTGGGCAGAGATCACATTTCATAAAGCTTTTTTGGAGAACTCTATAGACTTTCTGTAGAACCTAGCAGCTAAAAATAACAAGTATCAAAGGTTCAACACAATACTCTAATGAAAAACATTTGCAGACAGCACAGTAAACAAGCAAGCTCAACTAAGACTTCCACTTAAAACAAACAAACAAACAAACAAAAAAAAAACACCCCAAAAAGAGTTTCTCCATAAGTATTCTGCCTCACCATGTTTTTATTTTATGAATTAAATAAAATTAAAATTAAATGTTATAATAAGCTGAAAAGTGGTTATGCCATTTCCTACAGTCTCTGCAAACTTTCGCACTTTGGACAGTGGTGCTTAACAAAATACTCAGACAGAATAAGGTGGTAAACTCGAATGAAGATCATTCGTTCTAAATATCCTGTTTATAGGATATTTAAGCTGCATTTCAGATTAATTTGCATCAAAACAGAGCCTTGTGTGCATGTGCATTAAAAAGCTACAGCTATCAAATATATATTCTACATACATTCTTTAATCAGTTCTTTAGAAAAAGTGCACAACTACATGGTAAAAAAACAGTAATAAAATATAGCAAATATTTTTATGAATAATGATATTCAAACGGATTTTCATTTTAAGAAACCTTGTCAAGTAACATGCTCTGTGAGTACACAGGCTATAATACCACAGACAAGTGCTCATGCAATGATTTACTCGTATAACAAAATTCATCTCATTAGAGGGCTGCAACAGCTACCAACATAAACCTCTGTTACATTGAAGTCAGAATTGTTTCATAGGCATTTGCTGAGCTACACCTTCAGATAACAATTTGCTAAGTGCCATATAAAACAGCAAGCATCTGAACAAGATTAATATGCTCAGATAAATATACTCCTTCACTTACAGGACTGACAATCTTATAATTTTCATTAGGCCTACTGAAAAGCAAAAGGTAATTCAAAAGGGTTTTGGAGGTGAAATTGACCTAAAACTTTGAAAATACAAGTAATCCATGATCAGCTTTTCCAAATACTGATTTGAATTTCAATCTATCACTCCAAGAACTGAATGAGACTCTGTCTGTTGGAAGGCAGTGCTTTGAGAGAGCAAGAATATGAGAATATTGCATCTAATTGAAATTATTAAATGTTATTGATAATTTTAAAGTGATATTCAAAAGTTGGATTCCACTACCTTTCTACGGTTTTCGTAACGATCAAGAAAATTAAAGATTGCACAGTAGAACAAAACACTGCCCGGTGCCAAACAAAATAGGCAGAAAAACACCCCAACACAGAGACGCTTGAAGTAGCAGGTGAAAAAAGGTGGGGGGGAAGGAGGAATCACAGATGATCTTTAAGAGTGACTCTCCTCACCATAATTTTGCAGGAAGTCCATCTCTACAACAAAGAAAATTAAGAAGGAATCAAGGATTGTTCATAAACAATAAAACACTCTCAACTTCTTAGAACACGTGATGAGTAGGATCCTTCTTGGTTCTGTCGCTTTCTCTCCAGCAGACTATGCTACAGCATGCCTCTTAATGGAATCTTACAGATTCATATTAAGAAATCTGCTAGGAAATCCAGGAGGCCAACAGCACAAACTAGTCTTACCAGTGAAGCACAATCCTGCATAATTTCATACAGGCATTTGTTTTATGACCTTTTCCAAAGTCAAGAGCTTTACTGCCTTATACTCAAAGGTGTCCTTAATCTTCTTACTTAACAGAATTAGCTACTTTACCATTGAAAACACCTATAACAACAGTCAGAAACTGTCCCCACAGCTGTACAGCCAGAAAAGACATTACCCCCCCTCCCCCGCAATCTACCTACAAGTGCTGAACGTGCAGCACTCTGTTCTGACTGCATCATGCTGGTAAAAGAAATCAGCAATGCTGGGCTTTGTTTGAATTTTTCTTCCCCTTCCACTTACAGAACTGTAAAACCTCAGTGGAGAGGCCTGGCAGTCTGTGCTATTCACATGTATATGCTCACTTGTAAGTTTAAGTTCCTGTGAGCAATTCAAATCCAAAAGATGACACACCTATATTCAAAGGTACAAAAGGAACCCTTTAGCAAGAACCTGCATCAAAGACAACGACACTCCCCTCGCTTGCTTGCTCACTATTATCATCATTGAATGATTGAATTTTGCATTTTACTTAAACTTCAGAACTTAATATCAGGGTATCATTCAGATGGTGTTTCTTTTGCTGTGGCAATAGATATCACAAAACTGCAGAAAGGAGATTTTAAAACAAACTTTTTCTTTCTGTTACCCAGTTTTCTGAAAGCTCCTGTACAGCATTTCACAAGTTGGTTTGCTGGGAATTTTTTTTTTTTTATGCTACCGTATCACTTAGCAGCCCAAATCATGGACTACTATACAGACCAGATAGAAGGATGTCACTTTACAATTGGAGGATAAGACAAAAGAGAACAGATGGATACAGACAGAATGGAAAACAAAAAGATACTGATCACCACAAAACGCAATAATGTCAGCAGATCAACATCTTAACTGTTGTTAAGAGTTTTGTAAGCATCATGCCACCAAAAAATTAGCATGATACAAGTCTAGAAAACAAAATGGTAGGACTAAGTGACAGAAGATGACAACAGATAAATTTAATTGTGCATAGCTAAAAATGGGTTTAAATCAAAGATGACATGAAAGCTACAGATGTGAATGACCATGTTTTCAGAGAACAAACATATCTCAATCTCCCCTATAGCCACTCTTTTTACAATCTTTCTCTGTGTTTGCCAGATTTCTCTTTCTGTTGTTTGGGCTTATTTTCTGTTACCTCCTACACTTTACCCTTCTATTACCTACTTTTATTTCTTTACATTTATAGGAAATGGGTGAAAAAAAAAAAAATCTGTTTTCCTCCCTATTTCATCTACTATTTTCTTACTATTTTTATTGCCTAAATATTTTTGGCAATGTTTGACGGATTCCACCCCACTTCCTACAAAAGCAAAGTAATTCAAACAAATTCAAACAAAACAAATTCAAACAAACAAGAAGGCATGAGCCCTACATGCAAGCTCCTTCACTATCTGATGTAGATGTGTGAATCTGAAATATCTATTGTCTGAATGTCTTTAAAGAGGAGCCAATCAAGAAGAGGAAATAAAGAAGTTTTATGCACAAAATCTTCATGGTGATTCTTAAGATGAAGAAGTGCTCAAATGAGCTATCATCACTGCTACTTGAAAAACTTGTTAGTGCGTGTCAAGAGTCTGCACAGAATTACAAGTACTGAAACAAAACAAACATTTTAACAAAATGGACACACTAACCATGATATTATGCATTTTCAGGGCCACCACAAGGTGCACTGATGTGTAAAAATTGTAATTACATGTGGCAAGGCATACCACGATTTGGTCTGCGGAGCAGCGTATAGCCCCGTTAGACAAGAAATGCAGAGCATACTAATACAAGCAAGGAGAAAAACAAATTAAAAAGTAGGGGGCCCATCATTTCCTTTACAACAACATATTTTAATTGATGTCATCTCTAGCCTCAATGGATTCAGGTTATAACCAGGGCATTATTAAAGACCTACAGTTAATCTGATAAACAGTACAATGTAGCTTTTTGTAAAAACAGAATCTCCTGAGTTTTAGTGATTTATCAAATTAATCTTGCAGGGACTTCCTTTGGGTATAATGGATTCAGAATCTCATATTCATAGTCCATCTGTATTTCTGTACGAACCCCCTTATTTCCAATAGCTGTTTTTCAAACTGTTAACCCCTCCTGTTCTGGTTATAAAAGATTATGTGCATAAACAAAAAGACATTAAAGTTTCACTTTTGAGGAAGAAATTTTTTTACTACTGCATAAATAAATTACAAATAACACCCTTACTGGTGTGTCACAAAGTAATAAGAAAGACTGATTGTATTTTGTACAAAAACTGAAGGCTCATGAACCTATTTCATGGTCTGTATGTATCCTACTACTACATAACATACTTCTACATTTAGCTTAGTATTTAAGAATGCTGAAGAACAGTAGGCAACTTTGACTTGATGTTGGAATGCATAAGTGATAGAAGAAAAATATCTTTGTATTTGGTAAAAGATGCACTAACACTTCAGTAATATTTTCGGTTTAACCAATTGTGATTAGAAAAATAAATACCCACAATAAAATGCATTGGTTTTGTAACCATGAAAGAGATTACCCAAGGGTTTGCATTACAGCAGTTTTCAAGTGACCTAAGCACCACAGTCTCACATCTTAGTGAAGTCAAAGCCTGCTGTGGGTTAGCCTTCATCTTACTGACCTTTCGATGCTCTTGGAGATTTGTTGCTGAGGAACATTTCTTATTGCACACTGAACACATCAGCTTCTTCCTAGAATTTCCTGAAACAGAAACAAAATACCACCAACATCTTAAAAAGGAAGTGCTAAGAAAGAACTTAAATATTGCCACTCAGTCTGTGACTTTTCACAGGTCATTTGACTGACATAAGATTTTTACATTTGTATGCCATCTTCAAAGTGTTCCGTATCAGGAGTTCTCTGTGGGTGTCCAACAAACCAGTTACTGATGGAATGTAAATCAAGAAAACTCAAACAGTAAAGAAAAAAACCCTTCAAATAGATGTTATCACACATCACCAATCCAATATGAAGAGCACAATTCACAACTAAGAACAACTCACTTTATAAGTGAACAGTTGATTTCTTCCAGAAGTCAACACAGGAGTTAGTGCAGCAATGACAAAAAACATCCAAAACTGAAGTCAAAACCACAATTTCCCATTTTTCTTTATTCAGAAAGCATTAAGCATCCTACTATATAAAATATCATCAATGGTTTTTAACTGAACAAGACAGGGAAGTTGTATTAGCACCAGATCATTAATTCAATCTCATCTAAAATATAAATTACAAAACAAGCTACAGGTCAGCTACAAGATGTATTTTCCTTCCCTTTTCACAGTTGCTTTAAAAAGTGACACAGCATTTAATTAGGTTTATCTATTATTTACCTTCTGAAATTCATTTTAAATAACTCACAACGCTATTTTATTACAAGATCACAAACCTAATTCTTTGTTTATAATTACATGCCCATGCAAGATATTTCCTAGCTTATGTAAAAAATGTTCACATTACACTGAACACTAAAAAGAATGGACACAGAATGAAAGAGTACCGCTTAGTCAAGCACAGAGGCAGTACGGATCTTAAACAAACTCATTAGATGGCTTCCAGCTCAATTTTTCAAACTCTCAGCATCCTCTAACTTTCCTGCTCTTGCTGTCCTAAAAGAATTCATATTATGTTGATTCTTCTTACTACAATGTACGCTTTCAACTATTTAGTTCAATACTTAAATTTGTAGTATAAAAAAGTACTTAATCTCACATATGCATTTGCTCTTATAAAACTTATGATAAGTATTTATATATACTGATATACACATAACTACAGGGATAGAGCTAGTACTTCAACTTACAAGAACATTAATAAGGCCTTTTCAGAGGAGTGAAAGGTGGTAGTAAGTATCTGTTCATAGCTTTGCGTAACAGGCAACACATGCAACAATCCTTGCCACTTTCCCTTGCCTCCAGGTAACACAAGGCAGGGAGGAATTCTAGAAATGTCCCTCAACAGCAGTAGTTTATTTTCTTTCCTGCACTGACATCAGTTGTGATTTCTAAGACTCCCAAGTGGTAAAATAAAAGCTCTACACATTGTGCAGGCAGAGCAAAAATATCCTCCAGGCATCTGCTCTGTTGTGTCTGGAGTGACCATTCAAGAGAACTGTAGAATTTGTATACCACTACATAACCGACCAAAGATAAGCCTAAACATAACAATGCTCATGGATGAAAAAAATTCTTATTGATACTGAAAAAAGGAGACAATCTTTTCTAAAAATGGTTATAGAAAGGTTTCTGTACACAGTAAGAGTTTGGCAGAAGAAAGAGATTTCATGTAACGAAAGTTTTACAAAGCATCTCAGTGCTGCCACCATCAACTAAAGACTGTTTTCTTTGCACTCTGGTATTCTGCTGTCCCCACACATACTGATCTTCCATTGACATTGAGATGGGACATGCAGAGAGAGCAGAATGCCAGAACTGAGATCTGCACTGTGGACCTGAGAGCAGTATTTTGCCCTTTCACGAAAACAGAGTGAGGTTTGATTGAAAACTATTGATTCACAGTGCACAGATATAAACACACTAAGGCGTATCAAGCCTAGTGGATTGTCTGGTCTGGCTTCCTGCACAACAGAGGCTATAGAATTTTATGCAATACCCTCATCAAGCCTAATCGTTTGTGAAGCATGTCTTCCAGAAAGACATCCCATTGTGTCCTGCAAATACCAAAAGATCAAGAACTCGCCACTTCCTGTAGCGGTTCGTGCCAGTGGTTGGTCTTCCTCACAACTGAAATGTTTTGCTTTATTATTTGCCTAGTTTAAAGTTCTCCAGATTTTTATTACATTTTCTGCAGTAGACTAATGATTCATCTGGCATACAGTAATTCCTCCCTGGGGGAGGAAGAGTAGTTACTCTTGCAATTAGTTATTTTTTAATTTTCTTTTTGATACAAATGAATCCATTAAAAAAGAAACCAAAGACAATGTTTACACTGATCTGCAAATTTAAGGCTAGGAACATGTTAGAGGGTTTTTTTCCCCAAAGAAACATTAAACTCTTTCTTACCACTGTGAACGTTTTCTTTATGTTTTTTCAGGGCATCCTTACTCTTGAACCTCTTGCCACAGCTATCTGCCTTGCATATGAATCTGGCATCCCCTTTGCATGCCTCCTTGTGCTGTTCATAACTATATGGCATAACCGGTAAAAAAAAAACAAAAACAAAAACAAACACCAACACATAAAGCAGTATCTGCAGAAACCAGACACATAGCAAATACTCTGAGCTTAACGCATGCTGCACTGCAGAGTTCCAAGGCTGCTTCATGCATTACTTACAGCAAATAGGAATGAAAGCATTTGACTTCTTTCACTGTTAGCATTCACATAAACTAACAAGCTTGAAAGCTAACATGCAAAGGGAGGCCAGCAATGATATGACAGCAGTCCAGTAACTCAGACACAAAACCTCGATTCTGAGCTGAATGAAGTATTGCAAACAGAGCACTGAAAACTTCTTGAAGAGTCTCCTGGGCTGATATTCTCTGTGCACTGAAGTACACTAAGGAAAAATAAAAAAGTTAAATAAATAAGGAGAACATTCTAAACTTACACAGGCTTGCAGTATCTAAAAACAGCTCTACAAGAGCTCTATAGCTCTACAAATCTTTAAGTAGGTGAGTAATCTATTTCATATGTGAAGTCTCATGGAATTTAGTGGAACTAATCAAATGCATAAACAGCAACAGTCAGGATCATGCTGCTGTATCCTCACACCAGACTAATCTTACTTTGCATGATGTAAAAATTTACTTAACTAGCTATACAGCAGAAATCCAGCTTCCACTATAGACTACAAGGAACAAGTCTAAGCTCAAGAGAAAATATTTAATTGCCTCCACCAAATATTTCTCCACTATATAATTTTATTTATTTCCATGAAAGAACACAGAGCTCATATAGAGCTGCCAGTTCTAGGAATGTTCACATTATTCAAATGTAAGAAAGACCAATTTATTACAAGAGCAGCCTTAAGTGTGTTCTGTGCAATATGAGTCTGTTTCAATACGAGAGTTAGCTTAAATGTACTATCTATAATCACTTAAGCATCTACTGTACTATCTTTAATTAAATGTATAATAAAAGGTAATAGATCTATTTAATTGCAAGCAACAGTTACATTTTTGTACAAAAGTGTAATTGTAAACGTTAGTGACAAAACTGCATATTTACACTATCAAGGACAGTAAAGATGTGCTGTTAAATCTCACATCTTTCATGTTTCTATTTGTTTGTTTTCATCACCTAAATATTTAATTAAGCAAACATGAAGCATTGTTTTTCCTTTTTTTTGTCCCTCTAAATCAATATTTACTTTCTTCTAAATCTTACTTTAATTCTGGAACAACATCCACAGCTTAAAAATTACATCTCTTAAGTTACTAAACAGTCCACTGATGGAGATCAAGGGTTTTGCACCAAACAGCAGCTTTGATCTGGTCTACAGTGTACAACTTGAAAATGTAAAAAATTAGTGACATTTTTGCAATTCAAATTGAAGCCTCCAACAAATACAAGGAATTAACACATTAAAAGACTAATGTAAAGGGTAAGGGTACAAATACATAAGCATAAAACCTAAAGCTTAAATTGTGATTAAGCCAAGAGAAATAAATAATTGAATGAAATTGATTTAGATGATCCCTGAAAAAACACACTCCTGCTTCTACACTCCTGTTTCTACTCACTGTCTCTGTAGAGCTTGTTTAACAGGGAATTTCTTTCCACAGTTTCGGCACTTAAATTCCTTTTCCTCACTGGGTTTTTGGTGCAAAGTCTGAAGATGTTCAGCTAGAATCTCCTGGCTGGCAAAACTGGATTCACAGTTTGGGCATGCATGGTTGTCTTTACAGGTGAGGGGATCTGCATGATTGAAGGCAAAAACAGTAAAGGAATAGTTTTCAGGGAATATTTTGGTTACACTAAAACAGACACTCTGCCAGAAACAGATTAAGCAAAATGGCATCACAAAATTCACAAAATACATTGTCTCTCAATGAATTATAGACAGCCTATCTTGAGTGGATTACCATCAGTATTATTGAAAATGGATGCAAAGTATTAAATTGGGTGTGACTTACGCTGTTAGCCTAAATTAGTCATCCAGGTTGTCCCTACTTTGATAAAGATGCTGAGAATTCACCAGACAGTTCAGGTCACCTACCTTTTCTTAAACATCCTACCTTAGTATTGGCTGAACAGCTTTACGAAAAGGTTTATTTCTCTCTTCCCCAGTAAGAGGGAAACTAACCCTCTTGGAGGAAAAACTTAGCTTTCATAAAACATGTGTCATATATGTCAGGTGAAATGAACTCAGTCTTTAGTTCAACAATCAACAGTAACTTCTCATGAAATCTAGGCTCACTCATTCACTCAATACTTCACATAACTGGCTGCTTCTTATTCGGTAAAGAAAAGAACATCAACTCAAACCAAAATAAAGAGATAAAAATCACACAAGAGCTCAGACTAAACCTAGGGAGCCTTCCAGTTCCCCAATCCTATACAGTTAGTGTTCTCTTTCTTCTTTGTCACTACTTTTAAGCCCTCAAGCAATTTTTATACATTGTTCACCTGCAATTTTTTCACCAGCTGGTTGCACTTCTTTATTGGTGCCACTGTCTTCATCTTCCTGGATAACAGTTACTTCTTCCTCTTCCTCCTCCTCTTCTTCCATGTCACTGTCCAAGTACCCAATCAGAAGTTCTGTGTCTGTTTCAATATCTTCCACAGCCAGATAGAAAATATTTTCCCCTTCCTGTTGCAAATAGTAAGTAGAAGCAATGAATAATTATGTCAGAAAAAGTAAAATCTAGAGACAAGTATGGGACCCTGAACTAATACTAGCCCTCAGCTATGGAAGGGCTGGCTCCATTCCTCAGAGAGCACAATGATAGAACAGTCCTTCTGAGACTTCTTTCCTAGTGAGGCTGCATGGGTAAAGTGCCTTTCTATCCTGGTATTCTGGAAATATGCCCCTGCCTCACCTGTGAGGCTTTTCCAATTTGCACTGCAGCCTAGGCCAAGGTGAAGGTGGTGTTAAAGTCCTCCTCTCCCGCCACACTCTGCCTGACAAGAACTTCAGAGTTTGAAAATGAAACATTCAAGTATTAGAAAAATAACAAAATTTAAAAAACCAATACAGTTTCAGCTCTGTCCCCTGTTGGCCACGTGAATTATAATCCAGCTTCCAGTAGCACATTTACATATTTTCTCTCTCCTCCTCCCTCTTTAAAATTCCCCACCTTCTTCAAGAACAGGCTTTCAACCCTGGTCAGTTATCTTTATATTCTATCATATTCTATGATCTTCACTATCAAGTTAGCAGGCACAACTCTAAAACACACCTTAAACCACTAGATCAAAACCTTCTGCTGGTTTAAATCAATGTAGATACACAGATCCACCGCAGGCCAAGGATTCTGCATAAGAGGACAAACTACATAATAATAAGGTCCAAAATCTTCTCCACAGTGAATAAACAAGCTTCCAAATAGATAAGCTAACAACTTTGGTCTCTGACAATGTTTATCTACAGTTACCAAGGTTGGCTGGGGGAGGCAGGGAGCTATAGCAAAACCAGCTGTCTCCTAAGCTAATATACAGAGCTGCTTTTTTTGCCATATGTGAACCAACGGCTTTAGGTACTAACCAAAGCGCCAAAGGAGACTTTTTTTTGCACAACAAAGACTTCCAAGTTCTATCATAAATCTTAAAGCTTATCTGATTAACATCCAGAAAAGTTAACTGAAGCTTCTTTACACTACATCTAGCCACTTACTCTGTAACAAGCTTCATAGCACAAGGACAAGATAATGATTTTTAATTTTTGTAATATACTAAGATTAATTTAGACTGTCAACAGGGATGCAGTATTCCTCGAGCTTTAGAAGGTCTGTTATATATTACACAACATACTGTCACACAAGAGTGAAACCTATTTAATTCAATAGAGTTGTTACAGCTGCTGCTTTCAAGGACGCACCACTTTTCTGTTCTTATCTCAACAGCAGCATTTGAAAACAAAACAAATTATGAATTTTTTTCAAAATATATTCTGCAGTCCAGATATCTATCAGCATGCCACCCTAACTTTTGCATACATCTAGAAATTGCTGTTTTTCACATGCCTCTGTCAGGTCGCAGAGACCTTTAATTTACTACAACCTAAACTCAAAACAAATCATGTACTGAAACTCTTGACATGAAGAAAAGTAAAAGGCCTTTCTACACTCCGTCTCCACTTAGGATAAAACTGCTGGGGTAAACCTCCAATATATCACTGTTTAGGACAACCTTATTCTAAAAGCAAGACAACCTTATAAATGGAAGCACATACCTATTACTGGCTCCCCAAAAAAAAAAAAAAAAAAAAAGCATCATGTATCCCCAGGCAAAAATAAAGTCCCAAACTTACTCATTACAATAAGAACTAAATAGCTCATAAGTGTAAGAACTGAACAGCACACCTTTCAATGAGATTATATGCGACACATCTTACACCACACGGTAAATGTGGGAGAACAGCAACCAGAAGTAATCATTCAGGTTAACCTAGACCAAGTGCATGAATCCCAAAAACCAAGTTCTTAATGCTGCTGCATCCTTACCATCTCTGCACTTGCCTCGTGCATCTGGGACTTATTTTATAGCTCTTTGTGTCTAAAAACATCCTGGTTCTTTCCCATTTGTGTACTTTCGGTTAGTAAAAAGACTTATGGAAGAAGTACTATGGACTCTCAATGCTTGAGTGATCTTGGTTGCATTTGCATTGAAAAGAAATTAGCTTCGGTGCCAACCCAAACTAAAACACAGCTCAAACTCATTCCTCCTCCAAGGCTAATTTGTTTGGCTTTTCCAGCCAAACAAATGCTAATAGTCATGTATTTGGAGCACTAATTAATCCAGATATACCCACACTGTAGTAACTCCTCAGGCAGCATTTTCAGTGAAACCAATGGAAGTTCTCCAGAACCATAAAGGAATTTAAGTCTCTCCTTCCACCAGCAGAACCTGCATGAAGCACATTTATCTACATGCATGCAGACACAGACACAGAGAATGTAGTAAGAAATCTTTCAAATAATTTTAATAATCCACCCATTTACTAAGAGCACATCTGCAGTTATTCCACCTGCCCATCTGCTTAGGTAGGCCATGATGGTTGTTTCATTAACAATGTTCATCTGCAGCAGGCCACAGTGGTCCCTGGGAGAAAACTCCAAGTGCTGGTCATGGTGGCATGACAACGTCCCTTCACCCTATTCCTGGTTTATTATTCCACTTTGCTTCTCTCGCTCCCTGACTCAACTGCCATCTTTTAGGCTGTGGGCCACACTGACCTGCCCAGCAAATAGAGTTCTCTTGTTCCAACAGCTCCTGCTGTCCCATTCTTGCTCCACTACAATCATCTCGGCCATTCAAATTCTTGGCTTTTCCACCCAGTTACACACCTTCACGTGTGTTTTGTAAGAGGGGAGGCTGACAGGGAACATGGGCCAAGCATTGACAGCCCATCACACATTCATCCAAAAGCATAAGACAGATATATGTCATCACTCCTGATAGCTGAAAACACAGGAGGAGGAGGAGGAAGCAGACAGTCTTGTGTAACCTGAGGGAGCATAGGGCTTTTCCATCCTCCCAGAGCTTGATCAGCTGGCTCCAACCCTTTCACCTTCCTAATACTTACCAAGTTTCCCCTGTGCCCACAACCACTCCTCTTAACGCGCTACCTGGCTTCCCTCCACATCCAATTTCCTGGCAGCAAGCCAGCTCTGCAGCCTACCTGTTCTGCCAGTGCTCCTTTGCTACCTCTCCGAACATGCACACTCCCTTTCCTGATCTTTGCCTACAGCTCCAGGGCGTCATATTTGCCAGAGTAAAACCAACCTTGGCAAGGCCTGCAAGGGCAGAAACCCCAACCCAAGAAATACGCGGAGGTGACTTCTTGCAGGCTGTGGCAGGAGAAGACAAAGCCACAACCTCAGGCACAGGAAAGATCAGAAAGGGCATGCAGTGCCAGGAAAGACACGATCAAAATAACGATGCCTCCCAAAGAGGGACAGCAGATCAGGTACCCCTGGGGGAGAGTGGGTGAAGCCAGGCAGCCTTCCAGAGGTGCTGCTGGGGACCAACAGACCCTTGGCCCTCTCAAGCAAGGAAGAGGAAATAGATGACAAAGAGGCTGGGGGAAGCTTTTCTTGTTTTCACGCTACGGCATACGTTGGACAATGCCTGACTGTTTAAGGCACGTATCCCTGTCCCACTCAGCATGTTTGTGGCTCTCATCAGCCAGGAAGCAGATGGATCCCAGACAGCCTGCTCTTAAAAACAAAACAAAAACCACACAAAACAGACAATCCAAAACACAAACACACCTATAAATCATACATATAATGGAGACAGTCAGCCCAGGGACCAAGGCTATATCTAGTCTGAGGTATAGCACCCGAACCCCACACAAAGGAGATGCAGAAGCCTCAGCTCTATCTACTGATCTATTCCTGTTGCGCTGTACTGCACGTTAAGGTAGACAACCTCTGAGACATGAACATGAGATTAAACAGAACATGAGGTTAAACTAGCACAGCAATTCCTGTATTTCCCCTGCATTCTTATGCCACACTGCAGTTTTTAGTGATAACTCTTGGGGAAGATTAGAATATTTTTCCAGCTGAATATTCTGTATTGTGATAGACTTCACTCCTCTTTATTTTTTGGTTACAGTTATTATCTTGCATTAAACCAGAAGCCATTGGTTTTAGTTTCACATCTGCAGAAGAACATGTTTTACTGCAGTAATGATACTACATACCCAAATCTTGCAGTTAAACTCCTCAGGAATTTGAATGATGTGTACAGTATCATCAGAAATGAGAGCTGGAAGATGTTTTTTTCCCTGCCAAAAGGGATTCCTCCCACCCTTCACTGTATGTGTCAAATCAGTAGACATTTTCCAATCTTCCAGCTTAAAAATAAAATAGTCTTGTTTCTCGGTGGGGAGGACAAAATAAAATGAGAGTTCAAAAAACTAATTCCAGCAATGTCACAATTCTGGTGGCTCTACAGAGAAGCACTGGAACTTTTGATTACTCTCCTTACTGAAAGCTTTTGTTGTGAAAAGTAAAACACGTTTTCTGCCCCCCCCTTGCCTTGAAAGTTGATGTTAGCAGCATTTAATGATGTGTGCTCAGTACGTGCCCAGTGTGGCACCTCTTCCAGTACTGGCAGATATTAATGAGCCTAGAGAATCCTGAACTGAGAGATGAACCAAGAACTTACTCTTGGAAGTCTCTTTTAGAGGCTCCGTAGAAAATAAAAAGCATCAATTACAAAAAAATAATCCATTTGCTTAGATTTGAGCAATGCATTTACATCCTTCTTTTTATAGAGGAAATCTACAGGTTTCCCAACTTTAGCTATACCTTCTCTGAGAATCGCAGAATGAAGGCATCTCTGCAAGCTGCCTCATCCAAGCCCCCTGCTCAAGCAGGGTTACCTACAGCAGACTGGCGAGGACCACGTCCAGATGGCTTTTGAATACCTCTAAGGAGGGAGACTCCACAGCCTCTACAGGGAACACATGCTGGTGTTCAGTCACTCTCACAGTAAAAAAAAAAAAAAAAAAAAAAAATTAATTCTTGATGTTCAAGGGAACCTCCTGACTTCCAGTTTGTGCCCATTGCCTCTGGCACCAAAAATCTCAGAACCTTTTCTGCAAAGCTGCTTTCCAGCTGCTTGGGCTCCAGCATGTGA